TTCTGAACTCTAGTCCCTTTGGGAGGAAGGGGTCAAGGAAGCTTAAGGAAACTTAACAGAGCTCAGGAAGTTGTAAGATTCACCACTCCCAATTATACATGCAATAAACCCTTGTTGGAGGGAAACTCCCATAGGGCTGCCTGCAAATTGGGCAGGGAGCTCCAGGGGTGCGGCTTTCATGAGCATCTCCCATGTGCTTTTCAGGAATGCAGCTTCCTTTGATTCTATTATGCTCCTGTAAGTAACCCCAGTGAACTCATTGTTCCTCAAGCTAGACTTGGGTAGAATCTTTGATCTGTTAGTCGTGCCCTGTCTGGGGTGAAAGTACTTGTTCATGTCTGCCCAGGAGAAGTCACACAACAGAAGGCCAATACTGTAAGATGTTTCCATCACCCAGAAAGTTCTATTTAAATCTAAACTGTTGTACTGGCATTTTTTATATTGATTTCATGTTGAAATAATTTTCGCTATCTTAAGTTGAGTAAGGTAATATTAATGCCAACTTCATCTGTGTTTACATACACACACACACACACACACACACACACACACACACACACACCCATAGACAATAGGAAATTGAAAATTCAGTATGGTCCATATTCCCATTTGATTCAATATACCCATTATATGTGCCCCTCTCAGGGCTCTAGCAAGCCTTTAGATACACAGCTGGAGGACTTACCTGCTGGTAGCTGCTGGCCCAGGAGGCTCGGAGGGCATCCCAGCCTCCAGAGCGTTTGGCTTTGCTCTCCAGGTGAGCCCGCAGTTGTGTTTCGAGCTCCTGGCTGACTTGTTCCAGAGCATGCACCTTGGTCATATATTCTACGAGGCAGCCCCCCAGATCTTCAACAGCAGTGTGATCCCTTTCTGGGCCTGGAGCAGGCACAGTGCTAAGGCCTGAACTCCGTAGGCCCTGCAGGAAGACACTGCTGATGCCCAGGGCCCGACGGGTCACTCGGGCACTGAGGCCACCTATACATCCACTGGGTGCTACTCCTACATACACCCCAGGTGCACGGATGAGGCTTCCCAGAGCACTGGTCCTGGATGCTGGGGGGCTCTCAAGGGAGGATGGAGACCGTGTCCCCCTGAGGGACACCCTGTGCCTCTGCAGGGGCATGCTGGAGTTGGCTCCAGGGGACAAGTCCGCTGCCACTCTCCTCTCACTCATTCTCTCTGCCCCTGTGGTGCCTGGCAGGTTTACAGGGTCCAGTGGCTTTTGGTTGCTAGTCCCAGCATCCCCATGGCCTTGTCACGGGTCTCTCTGGAAACTCCTGTGTCCCTGTGTTCTTTGTCTACTGCCTTCTATGAGCTTCTGTCATTCACTGAGCTGGAAGAGAACCGCCCCACCAGCCTGTGAGAGGCATACAGGCATTCTCTGATGCTGGGTCATGTGCCTAACTATCCAGACTTTTCTGCTGGGGCAAGGGTACTGGAGCAGTGCGGGTTGTGGGAATGGCTCATCTAGATTTGCCTATTTCTTTTTGGACAGCGTGTCTGAGGCTGGCCTTAAAAACCCTATGTAGCCAGGATGCACTTGAACTTCTGATCTTTTGCCTCTGATTCCTGCAATGGAATTCAGGGTCTCATGCATACTAGGCTGAACACTCTGTGACCTCTATATTCCCAGCCCTTGGGTTTGCATATGCTACTTCCCTAGAGACAGGCAGGCAGGCAACAAGCAGTTGTTTCACTGGTGAGGACACAGGCCTGAGGACCTTAGATGACAAGCGTACTGATCACCTCCTCCATATCTCACGGCACAAGCTGGGACTCAGTGTAGCGGCCTTAGGACCGAGTGCAGAGCTTTCTGTATACCTTCATGTGCTGAGGTAGGGGTATGTGCATGCATGTACATCCACATAGGATCAGAGGATGGATGTGGTTGTGAGCCAGCTATGGAGGAAGGCAGCCCTGGAGACGCAAGGGAAACAAAGCAACCTGCTGCTCTCCTCTTCCCTCAGGTCTGGCAGCCACTTCAGGCCCCTTCTAGCTTCTTTCTTCCCTCCTCCTCGCATCTGCCCTCTGACACAGTGCTTGTCAGCTGCTGGCCCTCGGCCATGTTTCTCCTCCTCTAGACTTTGCTGTACATTGCCCGATTGCTAATTCTGACACATCAGATACTCTAGAGCCAGTGTTGGACCTGAACTTCTGGGCTGGGCAGCTATTTGTTCGGCTCTGCTCTTTCCCACTTCTCTCTCTTCCTCTAATAAGACTAAGGAGTGAAAACAACAAAGCAATTTCTAGAAAGCACTCATGGGTGCTACAAGGTAGGGTTTGCTGGGCACCCTGGGTTTTAATCCTTGCCTTTGGCATACTCCAAGTCACACTTTCAACTGTCACATCCCAGTCATTTCTTGAGGGCTAGAATGGCCCCTCATCCTGGGCATGTGCTGAGATTTTAGTGTATTGAAACTAGGCATCCAGATCTAGAGATGGACATACTCCTTGAACCTGTAATGTGAGGATGGACCCCAGGCAAGAGAAGGGGATGGGAGTCAGCTTCTGGTAGGTACTGAGTACATTTCAGACTCTGAGCACAGTTCCGCTCTCTACATCAATGACTTTTCAATCTAAGTTCAGAAGGTAGAAAATACAGGGTTGACAAGTACTGCTGTGTGGGTGCACATTGTACAATTCCAGAAGTATTATCTTACAGATACCATTACTCCCCTTTGTGACAAGTGACCCTGAGATCCCATGTCCAGAACTTAGCAGAGTTAAGAAAGCCTCTCTGTTCTGGGGACTTACATAGGTTCTCTAGTACCTGCCAATCCCCGGGTCACACAGGTCCTACTCATCTGCTAGAACACTTTGTGTACTTTATTGTCTACTTGTGAAATCTGCAATCTTTCCCTTCTACTTTGTTTTGATGTAGGGTACTCTGTTACTTTTGTGTGTACATGTGGAGGCCAGAGATCAACATTAGGGGCATCATTGGGAGCTATCCATCTTACTTTTCAGGCAGGGTCTCTTACTGGCATGGAACCCACCGATTAGGTAGACTTGCTGGCCAGTGAACCCCAGGGGTCTGCTTATTTGACTGACAGATTAAGGAGCCAATTGATTCAAGTAAAGGGCTTAGAGGCCTTAGCTTGCATAGAAGTGGTACTCTTCCTATGAATACCATCTCTGTAGCTCCCATGGTGCACTGGTAACAGCCTCCTAATACTGGTGGTACTGCTGGGCCCCATGGAGGTGCATTTCAGTCAGTCTAGGAGGCATTGTCCAAGGCTAAATGAAGGGGACAAGCTACTGACCGTAAAGGTGTTATGTGGCCCTTAGGCACTTACTGTCCAGGGAATGGAAATGATCAGTGGTTTTAGACACTCTCAGACCCAAAGACATTTATTTCACATCTACCCAGTTCCCTTGGAGATGGGGCCAGGCAAAGGGAGACACCTCAAAGGACATTAATGTTTCAAAGACCTGAAGAGAGCAGACTCTCCCTTGGGAAACCCACCCTCTTATTCTAAAAGAAGTTTTACCAAATGATAACTTGATGACCCTGTTATCTCACCACACATAAAATTCAATATAATGTTCAATTAGATAAAAAAAAGTACACATGGAAATGAGATGCAATGGGTACCATTGAAGGGGAGACTTGAATAAAAAGAATGCAAAATGTATTAGCAACTTGATCCTCTGGGTAATAAAATAAGTTTATTTATATATACATGGTAGCTGAATTCTGTGGATACGGAAAAATAAGTCATACATCCACAAATGTATATATAACATATGTATCTTTGACATATATTATATATAAATTGTACTTTACACACAAGTTTTCTCTATACATACTCACACACATTGGCATATTCAATGCAATAGCTAACAGAAATACTAGGATAAGGTTAAGGTCAGACAGCAACATGTGAGCGAGCGACTCTCAGCACAACATTTAACCTGCTGCTTTGTGGGTTGAAGTCTTTGAAAAGAGACAAGCAGACTCATGTTAAGTAGGGCCACACAACATTGAGAACACGTGTTAGTTTTGAAGGCCACCTTCCTTTTTGAAAGGAGAATGGAGGAGAGGAAGTCGTGGTAAGAGGACCACAGCAACAACACAGACATCGAAATCAACAGTCAAGTTCAAGTCCCGATCTGATAATAAGAACATCTATATTCAAAATATACTATCAAACTATTTTTCTTTTAAAGGGAGGGGGTTAAAGGAGTTAAATTTCCTAATGAGGGTGGGTTAGGAATGGAACAGAGAAAGCAACTACCTCCAGAGGTCCCTCTTGGGTCTCTGGGAGTCTGCTTCGTATTGGCCACACTGGCTACAGTGTGGGCTTGGAATGCAGCTGGACTGGGGAAATGAGAGGGGAGGGAGGTAGGGGACGGGCAGGTCTGCAGCCAGCACTTCTGCCTGTAGACAGAATGGCACTTCTCTCGGGGGGAATCATTTGGCAATTTGTTTTCTTTAAAGATTTAATGGGGAAGGTTTTAAAAAAAATACTTCTATACCACAAGGCTTTCTAGATAGACCTGTTTCTCGGGGAGTGGGGGGGGGGCAATATCATTGCCTTCTGAGAAAGCAATACAGAATCCCAGCAAAGGCTTGATTGGCCCTTGAACATGGACAGGCAAGTGTGGTACAGCCCCAAGGCTGAAATCTGCTTCTGTCCTCCCTGGAAGTGAGGCCTGGGGTCAGGGAGGTGGGGGTGGGGGTCATTAGAAAGGGGTGCAGGGAAGTGTTTTTAGGGGGCACTTTCCGGCCAGACAAAGGCAGCCCTGTTTGTTCTAGCATGGTGGGAGAACCCTGTGGGGTGCCATAAGGGGGCTGGAAGCCCATGGTGCCTTGAAGTCTGTCACAGATCCATTAAGCTGTGAATGTGACAATCAGCGGTGGCCTAGTGGGGCTCCAGGGTGGCAAGTTCCTTCCGTTTTGTACACTTGCCTGTGTCTTCTGCCTTGGTGCCCCTGTTCTCTCCTCTAGTATACATACAAGGAGACGGGAAATGCAAACATACTGAGGCACAGGAACCATAGCTTCAAGAACAGACAAAGGACCACTCACTTGGCCGTCATGACATTCAGCTTCCGAGGGAGACTGGTCTCTTTCCTCACCTGCCCAGGGCTCCTGGGACCCTCACATGTCCAGAACAGTCAAGAGAAGCAATCAATGCAACTGCTTTGCTTAGAAATACGTTTATTTTTATAAAGCCATGGGTCATTCTGTAAATTTTTTTTTTTTAACCACACTTGTAAAAAAGATGTTGACAATTCTTAAGAAAAAAAGCTGAAAATGTTTCTTATTAAGTCAGGGTTACACAAAGGTTATATTTATAATATATATATTTGTATATTTATAATTTAGAGACAAAAATAGGGAGTGGCAACGCGGAGGCTGCTGCATCTAGATCTCAGACACTTGATCATTTCCCACGAACAGTGTTTCCTGGCAGAAGGGGTTCACAAGGACCATCCCAGTGTCTCGATAGTCGCCATTGGCTGGGGAGCGGGGCTCTGAGAGCTGGTCCTGGGGAGAGAGGGGGGAAGATGGTGTGAGCTGGGGATGGAATGAGGCTGTGCTTCAAAAAATGCACAAGTATAGGTGGGTGTGGTAGCACACACAACCCCAGCACTCTGGAGGATGGCAAGTTCAAGTCCAGCCTAGGCTATATAGTGAGAGACCGCCTCAACAAATCAAGTAACTAAGCACAGAAATAAGGAAATAAACACACATGCACACACACACACACACACACACACACACACACACACACAGAATACACACCCACTCTATATACACAAGTACACACAGCACACATCCCCTCTACACACACAGACACACACATTCTACACACAAGACACACACACCACAGTGCATACACTACACACACACAGGCAGACACAGGCATACGCAGCCACAGGCAGACAGACACATAGACACAGGCACAGGCAGATACACAGACACACATACAGACAGGCACACCCCTTACTGCCTTAGTGAGCAACAGTAGATGACCTTGGACTCCACTTCCTGCTTCTTCCTCAGGCAAATTCGAAGCTTTTTCTTTCCAAATACACCTTTGGGTGTCACCCATCCCATAACTACCCTTTAGAGTCTCACAGGCCCACCCACCAGTCTGGTGAGGATCACTGCCTTCTTTTTTTGCAGCAACACAGGCACCCACATGGACAGACTGGATCTCTGTGCAGCGTTATTCTATGCCGTAAAGCATAGAGAAAAGCAACAACCCTCCACCCCTGAAAACCTCAACCTGTCTGCTAAGCCCCAGGGTGGAGGGAATCAGGAGGCTCCTGCAGGGTTTGCATCTCAGCTACCAGGGACTACAAGCAAGCACTTGTGGGCTACTGATGGCAATTATTCCCAGATCCAGGTACTAATTTAGGGAAAAGACAGCAGCCAGCACCTGAGTAAATGCTAAACACCCAAAGTCTCAGAACTTGCAGGCCATTTCAAGGCAAATGAACTCACAGCAAAGCAGCAAGCCCTGTGTATATGCTGGCCTGGGCTAGACTTCTCAGAAATGGCCTTTATGAAGCCACAATTCATTCTCTGAAGTTTATCTTTAAAAAAAAAAAAAAAAGAGACAAAAGACGGTTCCTAAGGAAGAGGAGCAGCTGCTTTATGGGTGGCCCAGAGAAGAGGAAACTGTGTTGATAATAAAAGGTCTTTTCAGGAGACAGGCATATCCCTCAAGGGCTGACCTGGCCAAGTCCTACTAGGAGGGTGCATGGAAGCAACTAGAAAAGTCCTTTTCTGTGTTCTTGAGCTGAGCTCTTGTGAGGGGTTTGGAGGTCGAAGTCTGGCCTATATAGCTTTATAGTTTTAATGGGGGCAACTATGGACTAATGGTGAACCTGGATAGGGGGTGTATGGGGCACTGCATGAAAAAGAAAGGTATTTAGGAAAGACAACAGAGAGGGAGGGAATGGAAGAAAAAAACAGAAAAGTATCCAAGCTCCCTTGGGCACTGTGGTCTGCCATTTTCGGCATCATAGCAGTAAAGGAGTCAGGCACAGAGACACTTTGTTAGGCAAGGCATGTGGGAGCACCTGGATGGTACGTGCATGTCTGAGGATGCAGAAGGTAGGATATGACCTTCTTGGGGGTGGTCTACAGGGTGTGTATGTCCCCAGCAGTTTCCATCCTGGCTCTGAGCGACCTATGTTTTGACCTTACACAGCACAAGTTTAGCATGTTGGAACAGATAATAATACTCTTAATAAATACAGCGGAACTGGGGGAGTAGACTGGGAGTGGGGGTGGGGGCGGGAGTGGGGGAAATGGGGGGAGTAAGGTACTATCTGAAGCCAAATCTGGTGTACTTCCTGCCGTGGCTTTTGAGTTGCCTTCTGTTCTTGGGACTGTGGCCAGGTGACCCTTCTCCTGGGAGTCCCCTGGTCTGGTGCTGCCTGTAGACCGGGAGCCCCCAACCCCCATCCCTTTTGGTTCTACAAGTGGAATAATGGTGTTCTTCAACTGGAACTTTCTGTAGCGTGTTTTTGGGCTCTGCTCTTTGGTCACTTTCCCATTTACAGAGAAAATACAAGAAATTTAGGTTTCACTGGCCAGATTCAAACCTTTCTCAGGGTTTCCACTTACTATAAGACCAAAAAAAAAAAAAGTGTGCTGGCTCCTCACCTAAATGAAAGCCTGTCTTGCTACCTGCTCTTTGGTTATTAGCTTTTACTGAGTAGCTACTGTGGTAGGCTCTGAACTGAGTAGGGTGAGTCACGGTGGTTTTGTTCATGTATGGTTCATTCATCTAGTGTATGTTTGCTGCAGACGGGCCACGCCAGGCTCAGTGTTAAATGCCGCCAATGAAGGAGAGAGTTTGATAAACGAGGCTCCTGCCCCCAGGCCCTCAGACTGCAGCAAGGAGAAGGAAATAAGTGGGCCCACAGAGCAGTAGGCTGCCATGCTCCTGGTGAGCAGGGCTATAAGGAGAAAGCAAGCAGGGCTGGGGATGGGTGATGAGGGTGTGGCTCTAATGGGTTTAGGGCAGTCCAGGAAGGGCTCCTTAGGGAGGCCTGCAGGAAGTGAGGATCTAGGTGTTGGGGGAGAGGTCCAGTTATGCTTAAGAGCAAAGCTCTTGTGGGTCATGAGCTTTCTGTGCAGAGCAAAGAGCCCAGGGTGGCTAGGAGACACTGGGGGTTGGTAGGAGACAGACCAGCTCATGAGGGGACTAGAAAGAGAAACTATACTTTTTTTTCTCTCTCTCTCTCTCTGTGTGTGTGTGCGCGTGCACACGTGCACACATACACACGTGCATGCTTACAGTCAACCTGTGTTGTGTAAGAAGTCAGCTGTACCAGGCGTTGGTGGCTCACGTCTTTGATCCCAGCACTCAGGAGGCAGAGGCAGGTGGATCTCTGAGTTTGAGGCTAGCCTGGTCTACAGAGCTAGCTCCAGGACAGGCTCCAAAGTAATACAGAGAAACAAACCCTGTTTTGAAAAACCAACAATCACCTCAGGTGCTGTCCCTCAGGAGCCAGCTTGAAACAGGATCTCTCACCGGGAATTGGGGGCTTCCTGATTAGTCTAGACTGGCTGGCCAGCAAATCCCAGGAATCCTCCTGCCTCTATTGGCAAGCTTGTGCACAATCACACTAGGAAAGTAAAACCACAGATTGATGGAGTTTGCCAAATGAGGAAAAAAGGGGGCAGGTATCATGCGAGGCCAGAAAGTTGCCTGGTGGGGTAGGAGGGGCAATGCCCTTCTCCCCGGCCACCTAACACCCTAACCCTTAAGTGGGGAGCTCAGCTGGGTTTTGAAAGGGAACGATGTGACTATATTCAGCTACCAAAGCTCACCCTAGATGTCCAGGGAATGGAGGTGTGGGGAAGGCAAGGGGCACTGTCACAATAACTCAGCTCAGCTGTCTCGCATCTCTTCCTGGACCATCTCCAAGGCACCTGTCTTCCTTTGTGGGCATACCCAGTGAAACCCAGAAATCTTCCTTGTGCCTCTTGTGATGGTGGTGGTGGTAGGGGCTTTCTCCCTGGATTCCCATAGCACTTCATCTATTACTAGTTTCAATTTGTTTTGCTTTTGAATGACACCAAGCTTCATCTCCCAGCTGCAGCTCAGAATTGGGGAGTCCCCTGAGAGCAAGCGGTCGCGTTCCCCATCCTCAGAGACTGCTTGCCACCAAATAGGTCCTCAATAGACATTTGTTATTTATTATTCCCAGACTGACTGAGGACAGCTTCCCCATACTTCAGTGTGCAGGCAGTACCCCAGGTTTTTGTTTCAGACTCAGACCCCGAGTTCGGTAGGGCTGGAGCACTGTGGAGGAGCAGGCCCTCCAGCAGCTCCTTCGGTGGAGAGAGGCCGTGGAGGTGTGGGGCTGTTACCTCTGAGGTCTCCAGGGACTGGATCTCCCTTGGGAGCTCCACTGCATGCCTGTTGAAGTAGTCCATGGTGATGGCATTGTTCCAGTAGCTCAGGTTGTTCTCAGGGTTGGCCGTCTTCTTCTTCCTCCTCATGCAGCACACGGTCAACAGGACGGCTGTGGAGAGAGTCCCGGTCAGAGAAGCAGAGTCGGGGGAGACGAGAGTCTAAGTCCCGGGGGGGGGGGTGCAGAGGAGGTGGTACTCTCTGCAGCCACTTACCCCATTCATCCATTTAAACAGACTGATGGATGTATCCCAGGCTGGCCTTGAGCTCACTATGTGACTGAGGATGGTCTGACTCCTGAGTTCTGGGATTGCGGGTCTGTGTCACCACGGTAGCGCTGGGGCTGAAGCCAGAGCTTTGCGAGTGTAAGACAAGCACTCCAATAACTGCACTAGCCTTCACTTATTTAGTTGAGTTTTCAACCACTCCCTTATCATTGAGTACTTACCATGTGCTAGCAACTGTTAATGGTTACCACTGTTTTCCTCAGCATCCGTTCTATTGTGTCAGAGGACACACAGGCAATAAAATGAATCAATAGGGATTTCAATAGGGATGGCTATCCCGTGAAGGCAAACTGCCAAGCAACAGAGGCTGCTTTCGCCCCAGTGGTGGTTCAGAGCAAGGGAACTGGCCCCATGCAGAATGGGCAGTGTGTTTCACGACTTGTGACCACCACGTGTAAAGGACCAAGGTGTGGGCAGCCCAGGCTTGTGTGAGAAAAGAAAGGGCAATATGGTAGCAAGTTTGGGGGAGGTAGGAAGGGGCGACCAGGGCAGTACCCCAGGGCTTGGGGAAGGGAGGCTGCGTGCATTTGGGGGACATTTGTGGTTGCTACAATGCTGTGCTTTTAGTGTGGGTCGAACTCCCTAGAGCCGGTTGCAAAGACCAACGTGTGTGTTCAGAGCCTCACACTTTGGGATGATATCAGCTGAAGGACAAGGGTGACAGCGACACGTTAGACAAAACCCCCAGGCTCATTTAAAGAGATGTGAACAAGTAGTCACACAGGTCTTACATTTCAGGGACATTATTCATATTGATTGCTTTACATTTCCATTTTGACCTCCAAGAGCCAATGTTAAGAGTCCATACTTTTCAGATAGAGAAGTAGCAATTTTATCAATAGGCTGAGAAGCAAATCTGAATGTGTACACTCCAAAGTTTCTCTTCTTTAACACCCGGGTTTCACCCTGCTAAGGTGACTGCAGCATGGCTCTTTTCAGCCTGCATTCACGTTGTAATGACACGTGACCCTTGTCTGTTCAGACTCTGAGACTGAAGAGTCCTGGAGGAGTAAGTGTGGCTGCACTTTGTTGATGAATTAGATGCAAACAGTGGCTTTAGTACGGTTCCAGGGAGCATTTGAGGTTGAAGAGGCAGGGTGCTTTGTCCAGACTCACCCAGCACAATGGTGGTGCACCAGGGGGAGCAGCTAGGGAGGGGTGAGTATGTCCTGCCTAGGTTCACCAGCACCAGAACCCTCCACAGTGAAGGGGATGGGCTGGGACTGTATGTACCTGAGTGACATCCTGAAGGTGCCAATCATCTCAGTGCCTAGGAATGGGGTGTCAGGTCAGGCTGCTCTGCTCAGAGGCCAGCACCAGGGGGCAGCAGAGGGCCAGATCCCTCAGATCTGGTTTGGGCAAGGTAGGGTGAGTACATTGTATTGCCAGGGTGCAGGGCAGCTGCAGAAGCAGGCACATTTGCGAGCTGAGACCTCAGAGCCCAGGCTCCAACCCTGGGAGCTCCCTGGAATATTCTGTCACTCTCTTCCCCACCACCCTCCCCCTGGAGATCATCTCCAAGGTCAGGAGACTGCTCCCATTTGCATTTTGCCTCATCTGCTTTGGACAGGAAGTCTTCTTCCCATTTGCCTCTAAAGTGCTGTTGAAAACCCCCTGACACATGGGTGTGGGGGGGACACTTCTGAGTGGGCTCAAGGGGAGTTCACAGACTGGCTGGCATCAGATTGTTCAAATTTAGTGGATCTGCTTCCCCCCGAATCCTCTAAAGCCTTTCCTTCACTGCTTGGAAGAAGGGCACAAGGGGGCTGCAAAGCCCGGTGAGGAAACGGCACAGTTAGGCTGCCTTTTCACTCTGCTGGGAAACACAGCAGCCCAAAGAACGCGGTGGCTGTCACGGGTCCCTTCTCTTCCTTCCTGTTACATTTATTCCTCACAGCCACCAGTCTCTGCCTGTGAAACATCAAGGAGGAAACAGCCAGGGCCATTCAAGCTAGCAAAGCCAAATCCCTACAGAAATGGAACACTTTGGAAGCGAGGACAGAGGTTTTCTCAGCTCTGCTAAAGCCGGAACCCAGGGGACAGCGGGGAGTTGTCAGGGATAAACAGTCACTTTTCTCTTGCTGGCCTTGGAGGGCATCTGACTTCACATCACACACTTCATTGCCACAGACTGCAAGTGGGGGAAAATGTCCTCAAAAGCCACGTCTCTGAGGGAGCAGGGCATCTGTGCCTCAGACCCACCGAGTAGTCACAGGCAAGCAAGCAAGATCAAAGAGGCAGAGGTAGTCTTGGAGACTACCTAGTCCCGTGGCCAGAGGGATGCGGAAGTTAGAATTAGAACCCTGATGTTAACACAATGCTCGCAACCCTGAGTAAGCCATCTGACCTCTGGCCTCAGGGCCGCTCACATGCACACCCTGCACACAGCAGAATTTTGCCCAGCATCTGGTAGCTTTTCCCACCTGTCAGTAGGGAGTAGAAACCCTGAGAGATTTCCCAAGAGCTGGCAGAGTATGCCCATTGCTGTGTCTAAGATGCCATGCACTGCGTCTGAACCCTGGATCTGTGCAAAGTGCAGCGAGCCTGTCTGTGGGAGGTCTGGTGGCTTGTTTCTCTTGGGAATTTCCTAGGGTTTCTCACATACCTACTACAAGAGAGATGTAGAAAGACACATTGGGCTCCACAACTGCAATGATCTCAGGCTAATGCTCTAGCTGCGTTTAGAACTTTTATTCCAGTGTTCAGACCTTTCTGTCCTTCCAAGAGACAAGAGTATAGGCTGGGACTTAAGGAATTTAATATGCACTCAGAATGATGTAGTTTACAGGTCTTTTCAGCCCCCACAGTCACTGTGTGAGAAAGGCACCATTACTCTTCCCATGTAGGGAAGAGATAACTGAAGTCCCCTGAAGTTAACGCTGATCAAGGTCACCTAGCCTGAACCTGGGTTTTGGTAACCTTTAAGTAGATGCTTATTGTCCCCTGTCACTCTGAACACTGGAGGGAACACACAGTGTGGCCTTGGAAGCCCTTTGTAAGCTATACAGTGAATATAAGGTATGAGCCATGTATCCATTTAGCCAGAGAATCAACTGCTTCATGTGTCCAAAGGCGACAGCCCCCAAGACTCGACAGGGTATGAGTGGAGCTCCTCTGTCCTGCAGGTCTAGAATAACATGAGAACAAAGCAGGCTCTCTTGGCTTTCCCAGGAACCTTCTGGGGGTGTATCAGGTGTGACAGGAAGAAGGGTCACTGGTATGAAGCTGGAGCCTTGGGTACTTTGTTCATATGACGGGACCTTGTCGGTGACGAGAAGTGGCAATCAAAGCCCACAGGTCCCCCAGGAGCCCCAACCTTTCAAATTACCTGCTGAATTGCCTGCTGTCGGGCCTGTTGGAACATTCACTATGAATCCTCAAGAGATGAGGGACACCCATCTCTCCTCTCTGCCATTTCTTGAGGACCTTCCCCACAGCAGACACTGATACAGGACCTTGAGTGCATGGTCCCTGATGTTCATGGGTCTTAGAGGTAGCATTATAAGTGTGGAAGGGCCCTGCCCACATCCCGACGTCCCTCCAGATTCCCCACCATCCCTGTGCTCAGGCCATGCTCCCCAGATGCCTGCACCATGCCCGACTATGGCGGGGGTAGCAGAGCATGCTCAGTCCCGTAGGATCCCTCTACAGCACAAGGACTCCCACTGGACCAGGAGAAACACGTTCAGATGTTCCATCCTTACTACTTCCCATGTTTTCCACCTGCGGCGTAAGGCCTGCTTTGCTGCCTACGGCTTGCTTACTCCAGCTCTTCCTGGGTGTTTTATGTCTGATTTCATCTTGGTGCTTCCCTCTCAAAGGGATCTGAATGCCCTTTAAGCAGACACCTCTCTCATTCAAGAGAAGAGAAAGCCACAGGAACGTAAGTTAAGTCCACAGGCGAGAGGTAAGAGCTGGGTGTGTGGGCAGGCGTGTTTGATTCCACAAGCCATTTCTGGCACTGCAGGACATCCCATAAAGGATTCGAGTGGCAGCAGATGGGGCCTGGGATGGGTTTCAACTCCTGTGCCCTGGATATAAGGCCACACACAGGCTTAAGGAAACTCGGGCTTAGTGTCTGGCTCTTCATCCTGGTATGTGGGAATTAGGTGTTTAGAAATTGTTGAAGCCCAGAGATAGCTATTTTAGCTTGACAAGGTTATAGGTAGGGTGACAGTCTATGGACAATCCTGCCTTGCTGTAGCCTTCCCTTCTCTTCTCCCAATGGTTCACAATCACAAACCTAGCCACACTTCCTTCGGGTCAGTCTTTTCTGCTTCACGGGAAGAGTGAATCCAACCCATGTTTTCTTTAAATGGTAATCACAAAGCCAAGTAGGTCTGGTGAGTAAAACTTTCATCTCTCCTGCACACACATACACAAAGCACATATAGGCATATATGTCTGTGTATTATGTGTATTCATAGCTAAATTCACTGAACAATGAACACAGCCAAGAATCCCGGGCCCTATAACATGTCTTCCCTTGGAATATCACACTAATGGCCACAGTCTGGAAGAAGCCCTGCTCTGGGGCAAGGTGCATTGTCAAGGTCAGAGAGCGGCTCTTCTCAGCCCTGTGAGGCTGAATTTGGATTGCTGGTGCAGCACACATGCAGTGTCCCTGGCTTGCTTACTAATCCCTCCCAAAGCTTCAGCTTCTGAAGGGCGGTGGCTGGGAGAAAACAGTGTTGAGAGGGGCCAGGGAGCTCAGCAGAGCCTCCAAAGGGTGACAACCCAGAGCACCCACCCACCGGTGTGTGTGCAGTGACCAATGGTTGGCCAGAGGCTGCTAACGAAAGCCACAGGTTCTGTGCATCCTGATGGTGGCAGCAGAGACCAGCTCAGCAGCTACAGGGCTCCTGGCTCTAGCTCACAGTGGCTGGGAGCCAATCAATTTCAGTTCTCAGTGCATCTGAAACAGAGTTGGCAGAGAGTGTCTGCCAGGGTTCAGGAGACAAAGCACATCTCAACCCTTGCACACTGATGCCCTTCCAGCCACTGGGAGGGCTTGTGATGTGGAAGGTGGGTGAGCCGCTGGCCCTCCATCCGTGTGCAGGCTCAGAACCCATTAGTCTCACCCCTCACTTCCATTAGAACCAGGGGAATCACCCTATCACAAGCATGGGGTGGAGAAAGTAGTTAGGGTTCAGTCCCTACTGCTCTGCACAACCTGGCTTCTCTTCTAGTCCCTTCCACCAGAGATGATAAATTCTATACTCAACACTAGCCAGACTGCCTGGAATACCTGTGAGGTCTGTAGAGTAGCTTGGACTAACTACACAGACAGTCGGGAGGTTGGAACATGGGCCCTTCAGGCCTGGAAAGCTCAGACTGTCTGATCACTAGCTAAGGCAGGGGTTTGGAAACATCCCAAACAGATGAAAAGGTCTCTTTGAACAGCACCTAAGGTTCTGAGACTGGATAGATAATCTAAATATTCCATGACTGTGGTCAAAGATAGCTCATAGAAACTGTGCCTGTGACTAAGGCCACAGAGCTGACGTAGAGGCTGCCAAGGCTTAGGTAGGAGTGAGGAGCCACCTGTATAAGTGCAGAAACGCCAAGAAAGTGGCCTCTGCTGTCTCCATGGGGCTACAAAAGTCCAGCGTGAACAAAATCGCATCTTTAGAGAGGGTGTCCTACCCTCCCTCCCCCAGCAGCTGAAGGCTGCTCTTGTAGCTCTGAACTGTCCTCGAGGTTTCAGTTCAGGGCTGTGTCTCTGTTCCTGCCTTGGTTGATCTCCGTTTACTAACTCAGCAGTAGAGTGTGGGTGATGACCAAAGCCTCCTGGCACCTGTGTATGCTTATTTGCTTATTTTCTCTAGATAGCATAGGGATGGATAGAGTAAGACATACCTGGAACTTCAACTGTAAACTAGAGCATCCAACACAAAGCAGCTACTTCTCATATTAATGAATAATTACTTATCGATAGTGCTACCCTTTCTCCATCTCATTCCTCTTGTAGAGGCTGGCAATAACAGTTTACAAATTACATGTGTCCCCACCACAGACAATTGAGCTGCTTTCATGGAGTATGAGGCGTCACCTGAATTGGGTGCTGGAGAAGAGGTAGCCTTCCAGCCCTGACATGAGGTTTTTCAGCAAAGCCCGGAGGGGTTACTTGCAGTGAAGTGGCCAGAGGAAAGCTGGCCATGTAAAGGGGCTAAGCCTTCTGTGGGGACCTGTGACATGATGGAAAGGTGCATTCCGGCTTCACAGCTCCCTTGTGGGAAGCCCTGGGGCTTCATTTAAGACCAAGGTTTGCCCACAGGGTGATTTGAAGCCTGTTTAGCCAAGAGGCTTGATGCCAGCACAGGCTCTGCTATTGTGGCTAAAGTGTTCCTGCTGACTTCCTTGGTATGCCTGGGCATGTGTAGAGTGCTGCACTTCTGGGAGACAATGGGTAAAGAGGTGACCATTCAGAGGTGGCAGATACGGCAGGCTTGGGCAACATGCTTTATTGTTCTGAGAGCCATTCTGATGCCTCTGGGGCTGAGGGGGACATGGCTTAGGGACTACACGGTGAAAATGACAAGGTAAACAAGATTCTCAAGAGTGCTGGGCAGAACAGGCTGTCCAGGGGAGAGAGGGGGACGGGGTGCTAACTCTAATGGAATCCATTTGAGGTAGGGTCAAGTCCGGCAAAGACTTGAGTATGGAGTATGGATTCCCTGAGTATGGAGTATGATGAGGGAAGCCATAAGGGAGACCTTACGATTCTGAGAGGGCACAGTGGGTTCCTGAATGTCCCCTGACTCCTCACTCTCAGAGGAACAGGTTGCTGCAGCAGAGGTGCTGGTTGCCATGGAGTAGAGAATTATATGGCTCTCACGTAACTATGATGGGTAAAGCACGCTGGCTGGTATAGGGATGGAGAAAAGTTAAGATCCACCAAACCTGTGCATTAAGAACTGTGCTTTGGCCAAGGCCGATGGAACCTCCCAGCCCACAGAAGCTTTCTCTCTTCTTTCTCAGGGGAAGGGAGGGAGAGGTGGAGGGAAGAGAAAAGACAAGATGGAGAAGTAGGAGAGGATGGTGGTGACTTTTCCAACTACAGCCTGTTAATTCTCTGGCCAGTTGTCACCCATAGTGTCTGGTTCCTTGAGGCGGGGCTGTAATCGACAGAACTCTAGGCAGGAAGGATGGATGCTTCAAACTAGGCCTGCAGCCCTGCCACACACTCCTGCCCCCTGGATCCTAGGCAAGCCAAGTATCTTAGTTCGGTGTTTCTATAACAGGTGTGGCTGGCCAGCTCTGGGAATTATGGCTTTATGCCCCATGGACCTTTGAGCTACACTCAGGACCAGGGACGGGCAGGCCATGATTTCTGGCCTTGCTGTCTCGTTTGCAGGGAATTTGGTTCTGCAGCTCACTCAGTGGGGCCACCTAACCTGAGGGTAGGAGAATCTGAGGGATGGGGAAGGTGACAAGACGAAGAGGGCCGGAAGCAGAGTACTTACAGCAGGAAGAGATGGGCACACTGATGGCCAGGATTACCCAGGCAATATCCATCTTGCTCAAGCAGATGGTCGCTCTGTGCTGGGGCTTGTCCCCTTCAGCCACATGGGAGATGTTGCCCGCTGTTCCTGGCTTCCAGGTCCCAGCAGGGACCAGGCGGTTGAGGAAGTTTCCTGTGGCTGTGGACAGCACTGTGGATAGAGCTCTGGGCCCCCTGTCGGTGGTTGTGGGGGAAGCGTCAGCCTTCTCCTTGGCTGGAGAAACAGTGCTTCCTGAGACCCCAGAGGGCCAGGTTGGGGCCTGAGGGGTTGCCGATGTTTCCTGAGGGATGCCCTGGGAAGGGGCTGAGACACTGGCATCAAAGGCAGCCTGGGTAGGCCCCGTGGCAGCCGTGAAGACCCCGGAACTGGCAGATGGGGGTCTGTCAGTGTCAGGGGTGACAGCAAGCCAAGAGTCACTGTGGCTAGGGCTGTCCTGCACGTCACCATGAGGGCTCTGAGAAGGCACTGGGACAGGCTGTGTACTGGCAGGAGCAGCTGAGGCTGCTGTGGCATCCGGCTCCCCTGCTGCGCTGGTAAATGTGGGGCCACTTCCCTGGTTGGCTCTGATAAGGCCTGGCTTGTCCTTTGCAGGTACCAGGGAGGTTGTGGGGGGCACCCACGAGGTGCTTCTGAGTGCTGTAGCTGGAGACACTGTCTGGGGCTGTGGCGAAGAGGAGTAGCCCCAGAGTGGGGTCCTGGGGGTAAGAGCAGAGGGGTCTGGCTCTACAGACCCTGTAAAGTTACCTTTGTAGATCTGGAAGATTTTCCCCAGAGGGCGTTTCTGCCCAAGGTGTGTGGAGCTCTGATTTCGTCCCCTCTGGCCTTCCTTCCTTGCTGAGTGGCCACTGGGTACAGGGAGGAGAGGGCGAGAGGAGCCAGCAGCCCCCTTTCTGGAAGAGCCTGGGGGCCTGGGGGGTCTACGAGTGGTGGACCGTGGGGACATTGTGGGGCGGCTGGTGGCTCCTGCTGGTTTTGTTGGCAGGATGGTGGGGGCAGCATCCTTTGGGGGGCGGCGGCCCTCTGAATGGGAGGATGTGGTTGCCATGGCAGCTGGAGGGGAACCTGTGGGCAGAGGGTTTTCAGGATGGGGGATGGCAGCTGTCACAATAGTGGACACGGTGTTTGTAGGAGGGTGCCCTTCTGGATGAGACATTGTTGTTTCCATAGTAGCTGCAGCCTGTGAGGAGGATCCATCAGGTTTGGGGTCCAGAGTCACCACAGAGGAGAGTCTGGTAGAGCTGTGAGGTGCTGTTACCATGGTGCCTGGCGGGCTGCCTGAGGGAAGGGTCTGCAGAGATTCCCTGGGAGATGGTTCCTGGACAGCGAGTACCAGTGCTTTGGTCAGTGCCAAGGTCAGGAGAAAGCCTGGGGGGGGGGGAAGAGGAGAGAGGTGAGGAACGAAGGTGTTGTATCAACCTGGCCATCATCACCAAGGACTTGGAGGAAGCTCTGGGGATGCAGGAAGGCCATCTGGAGTGTTCCTTAGGCCACACTGGCACTCTGGCACTCTGAGACACAAGAACTGTGTGTGAAGCTAGGGAAAGTCTAGACAGAGGGAGAAGGATGCTACCTGTCATGAAAGATGGCAGCATCAGAGACCCCGAGGCAAGCTGACCAGCCAATCCCACCTTTTCCATAATTCCCAGAACTCCACCAGCCCTCTACCTCAGTGCATTGTCTTGAAATGTGAGGTGACGCCTGGGAGACTTGTCACTTCTATGTCATCTGCCTCTGGGGAGTAGTCAGGGCCAGCCTGACCCTTGAGAGCCAACTGGGAAAAGGCTTGGGTGGGAGAGCTAACCAATTCCTATTCCTTTTCTTGATGAAGAACAAAGTGTCAATGTCAGAGCCCCTGCTCATCAGCCTCGATGACCCCACACTTGGTTCCCTGGCACCACAGAGTACAAACGGCAGACCCCACCAGACCCACAGATGACCTTTAAGTGAGGCCGAGATGCCCTGCTGCCATAGGAGCGTGATGGGCAGAAGAGGGCACGGGTCCAGGGAAAGGCAATCAGATCTAGTTCCCAGAACACCGCAGTGGAGTCTGGGACGGGAAATGCTGCAGAAAGACCACTGGTGACTGGAGCTTTGTCACCAAGTGCTTGCCCGTGGTTGCTTATGTGGCTGAACTTGGGGAAGTCCTCATTGGCACTGCGTGGTCTTCTTGAGTAGGAGCTGCCCTTCTGAACAATCAAAAGAGGGCTGCATAAATATGGTATGAGTTTATGGAAAAACTGCAAAAGCATAAAACTTGATGAGTTTGAAAGCATTCCCAAAGATAAATGGCTTTATAATCCCAGCACCATGTACCAGTAACCCTACACGTCAACAAAACATGGGATCACTGTGACCACGGGCTATTTCAGTACATGGGTTAGGGAGAGCTGGTCTCTGTTGCTGATGGATGGCGAGACATTCCCATAGGGCCTGATTCTGATTTCTCAACACCTCCGTGCTCATATGCATTTCTTTGTCGCCCTTGGACATCTTTCCAACCCTATCTAGACCCCAGAAAGCAGGGAGAGAGCTGTCTGACCACTCTTGAGAGTCCTTCTGCATGTCGCCTTGCTCTAGTGGGCCAAGTGGTCAGTCACACTGGTGTCGAGTCCCACATGAATTCTGGGATGGGTAGCAAAGCGGCTAGCAGTGGCCTGCTTGGGCCCTGCTTGGGATTCATGGGAGTTTGGTGGTGACAGTGAGCCTCTGGGAGCCTAAAAGTAGCAGGGAGGGACAACTTCAGTATGTGGTTGTTTTTGGAATAAATCGCTTGGACCTAATAGTCACAGCTGAGCCAGTACTGGGGAGGCTGGAGGACCTTGTCTTTAACAGAGGCAAGCCAGTTTTCTCCACATTCGTTCACAAGTCAGCCCCCCACAAATGCAGTGCATCCCGCTCACTCCAGGCAACCCTGCAACCATGCTAACTTTCAATCTAGTGACCGCTTGACAGGGTGGGAAATGGACAGCCATGGGAGGCAAGGGGCCATGCGTGAAGTTACAGTCTCAGAAGCATGTGGAACCAGGGCTGTCTCCAGAGCATATGCTTTTCCTAGTTAACTGCCGCCAGTGACGCAGGAGTAGGCAGAGACCCATCAGCTGTGCCGACAGCAGACACAATGTGCCACTTTGCTCTGGTCTGTTTAGGGAACCCTAATTATGCCAGCCCCACAAACCTGCACCTTGCGGTTTGGCACCATGGGGGTGGTCATTGATGGTGGCAACCTCTGTGTGAGAAACTCTGCTACAAGTTGGCCTCCAGACTGTTAAGAGCTCAACTATGCTCCCGGTCCCAGCAAATGGCCAGAATCTCAGAATGGGACTATTTGGAGAGAGGTATTCAAAATGGAGATTCAAATGAGCAGAGGCCAGTGAGATGGACCTTAGCTCACTTTGACTGGTACCCTAAGAAGAGATGGGACACAGAGGGTCCTCTTGGAGGGAGGTTGTCAGTGATGCAAGGAGAGGGAGCCTCCCTGCTACCACAAGAGTCCAACCCTGGCACTACTTTGATCTTGAGAAGCATGGAAGAACTAAGTGTCTGGTTGAAACCACTCAGAGAGTGCTATTTTGTTACAGCAAAAAGGCGGGGGGGGGGGGGGGGGGGCGGACCATGGAGACAAAAAGGGCACCTGGGTAAGTGGTTCACATTGGGAGATGATGTGAGGGCCAGCCTAGGGCGCTGGGATTGGTGACAGGGAAACCCGTCCTGGCAGAAGCTGTGAGCTGACTGAGAAGCACCCCAGTCTTACTGGGATCACTTGACATCATGTGCTTTAAGGAGACCCCCCGAGACTCCCACCCCTACTAGATGAGGGCTGCTTCTTGGGTGTCTTCCTACCCTCCATCCCCCTGGGTATCACAAGGCTGAGTTATGGAGGTTTAAGGCCCAGGGGCTGGCAGGTCATAACTATGTCCATTTGGTGGCTGTAGCCGGGATTAACATTAAGTCCCCTGAGGATTGCTAAGCTGGAACAGAATGTATCTGGTAGTCAGAGCCCTAGAGCCAAGGGCATTTTATTGTTTTGGCTTCAGAGTCAATAGGACACAATTTGGGTGGAGACACCAGCTAACCCCAGGGACAATCACACAGTGGGAAGGAGGGTTACCTGGTCTGCAGGAGAATATCAGCAGACATCCAGACCCGAGGCCTATGCTTCCCCAGGATTTAAATGGTTAGGAAAACAAATTCCCCTAATTTCCCCACTAGGAGCTCCCCTACAGAGGCTCAGGTCACCCCAGCCAGACTCCCCTGGTTGGAGTTCCCGTGGCATGTATTGGACTGTCCTTGCTGCTCTTCGGGTACCAGACTCCCCACACATTTCCTTCCTCCTTAAGCAGTCTGTATTCTCCATCATGTGTTTAGGCTCCAATCTTTGCTAATATGGATGCATAAATTTATTCCTGGGTGCCATGGGGATTTAAGCTTTGGCTAACATAGTGAGGGATCCTAGAATTCATCTAAACCAACCTCTTCACTATATCGAGGATGATGTGACTTGTACAACAGCACATGGCTGGTTGGGGAGTGTGGTGTAGCCCTTTGCTCTGAACTGAAACATGCCAGAGTCAAAAGACTCTGCCAGCTCACTGCAAGTAGCAGATGTTTGTCAGGGGAGGGGAACTGTTAGAATCTGGGGGTACAGCTTTCTACAACTGTCATTTAAGCTGAGGTGTGGGGGTTTTGAATCACCCACATTCCTACCCATCAGTTCACCAAGTTAGGTTTGGGTGGAATCAATTCTCTGGTTTGCTGGGCTGACTAGATGTTTGTTCATGTCTCCCTTGGAAAAGTCACCCAACAAGGAGACAGCCTGGATCACAGCCATTATTTTAAAAGTAAAAATTTTCATTTGTATCATAAAATAGCTACAAGGGTTGAACTGTCCAACTCCTTCAACCTTACTGTCACCTTGAATATGGAAATGAGACAAGAGCTTACACCTTTTTTTCTTAGCACAAAAGGTTAGCAAGTGAAGAATGTGATGTGTACTGTCACAATGAATGTGCAGGGCCTTCAACTAGGGGCTTCTCTAACACATGCAAATTTTCATTCAAGGCCCTTTGTACTGGTCTACACACTCCCCTCCCCACAATCTGGAGCGACTGCCTCTTTGCATATCATTTGCATGGATTTGCATAATGGACTCTGGAGACTAATTCCAAATATGTAAGAGTCACTAAAACTAAAACCTAGCTTGACATGCTTAAAATGTAGAGCCAAATTAAAAATGTGTCAAAGTGAGGATAAGTATGGGGGGATGGGGGACAGTAGGAGCCCACAGACTGATGGGTGCCCACATATCACAGGAAGGCTTCCTCCTCTCTAGAATTCCCATGCACGTGTCATCTCCAAGGATGGAGAGGGCATCCTCCTCCTGTGTGTTTGGTTGACTGCCCACAGTCCATATTGGGCACTGACATTTGCATCTGGCACAGGCAAGGAAGCTGCTGGAAGGGCAAACCTTTGTAGGCACAGCTGTCCTGGCTCTAATCACATTTTCAACCATTTTCACTTAACATACCTTTTTCATTTTTCGTCAGTGCTGAAGATAGGGATGGCCCAGAGTCTTAGGCATGCTAACCAAATTTACCATTGAGCTATACTCCCCCCCCCTTTGAGCTATACTCCCCCCCCTTTGAGCTATACTCCCCCCCTTTGAGCTATACTCCCCCCCTAACTTCCCTGTGCTTGCCCCCCCACCTCCATGTTCTGCAATTTTCTTACTTGAAAATTGTATGTTTAAAAGTTTGTACACACTTGTTATATTGGTGGTTCTTGCAAACAGAACTTTTTAAGTACCTTCTTAAGTGGATGATTATTACATAGTGTATTCTGTCCACTGTCTTTTAAATCCTATCTCAGGCAATCATGGGTGTTGGAGCTATATCCCGTCACTGAGCAAGATGGCAACTTAGACATGCCAGATGCAGCCCAGTCATGTTTGTGGGTTCCGGTAAGACCTTTTTCCACTAAAAAATGGCCACTCTCCCTTTCCATGTCATAGCAGAGAAGGTTTCATGGCTTATACATTTCTCTTGGGGTCAGTGTTAGTCTTGTATTAGGAGTGTGGGGTTTTATAGGAAGTTCCGAGGGGTCCCTGCTGCTCTAGCCTCAGTCAGGCACCCACCATGACAGTACAGAGGTCTGTAGGATGGCCTCCCCTGGGTTACACCACTTGGATCACCACTACAAAGGAGATCCTAACGAGTGCCACCCAGCCAAGGCTATGATTTGTGAACAACCACAGCGAAGTATTTTGTTTCAGCTTTAAGCCTCTTCACAGGCATTTTTATTTTCTTTTTTTTATTCCTCTGAGACAGGATCTCATTATGTAGCCCATACGAGCCTTGAACTTGTGATCCTCCTGAGTGTTAGAATTGATGCTGTGTGCATCAAATGGTGGACATTTTTAATTTCTTAAACTGGAACACAGTATAATGATCTTAAGGGTCTGCCAAAGGTCACGAGTTATTAACTTGACTTGTAAAGCCACAGCCTTGGGGAGCTGACCCTAAGAGGAACCATTTGGAACTCGGGGATATAGCCTGTAGGAATGTAATAGTCACTATTGAAGGAGTGGGTTCCTTATTCATCAGTACATCGGGCCCTCCTGTGCCCTCTCCTCTGGCCATTTTCTCATGGGATGGCACATTATGAGGATCCTTCAGGATGCCAGCTCTGGACCTTGAACTTCCAGATTTTAGGATGCCGAGGAAACTGTAAACTACCCACTTGGGGCAGCACAAAGTCTACTAGGACATTTGGGGATTTAGATTCTGCATCTGACACACCTCCTGCAGTACAACAAAAGCCTGCCTCTAGAACAGCAGGTCAGGTCCCATGTGTTTTCTTTGTGGGCAATGATCTACAATCTTACTTAGAAATGAACTTCCTAAGTCTACAGTTTTCTTCTAATCAGAAAGATGTCTGGACCCTGTATCTCCTTCACTTGACAGATGAGAAAGCGAAGACCCCCCCCCCAAAGTAAAATGATCCCCAGTTAACCACAGCTACACAGGGTTAGATGGGGGAGCAGCTCAAGCCAACACATTGTCTGGCTAATCCCACTGATGTTCCCAACTCTTGGGGATCTTTTGACACTTACTGTGTTTCCCAGATTCCAGTGTGTTCTGCTCTTTGAATTCCAATGGCCCCTTTTATTTTAAAACCCACATGTAAACTCTAGTTCCTTGGAGCATGGTTTTAACTTAGAATTAATTGTGAATCATGGAGTTCAGGGGGACCAGGTCACCGCTCTGAAGAGGCAACACAGGCCCTCTTGACCTTGACTAAGGAGCCTGTAACACAAATCTTTGGTGCTACCCCTTCTCCAGGCAGCTACACTCCATACCCTCCCTCCCATCAAGTTAGGCATCCATCCTCAGGGCTGAAGGGCAGATGCTCTTGTCAGTACTCTGAGCTAACTAAGACCATCACCTGGTGGGTTCCAGAAATGTCCAGAGATCATGGGTTCAACAGCTGGACTGATGAGGTCCATGACTCCACTGGGAACTGCTTCCCAGAGCTCAGTCTCTAGAACACAGACAAGCAAGAAAACCACATGAGCTGGGTCTGTGAACCCATGTGCACCCATGTACCCATGGCCTTTGGCTAATGTGAGTTTACCTTGTGCTATATAGCTCTGGGAGGCAGACAGATAACAGCTTTCTAGCCGAACATAAATGTGCACAGGTAAGCAAGCATGCATGCACACGTGTGTGCTCACATCCACATGTTCATGCCCTCTTGTTTCACCCTGCTCCTCCTGATTTCACACACATAGAACATGGCCTTTTTTTTCTTGGAACAAGAAACAGACAACATGATAATTTGTAGGTCATGTTTCCCCCCTCATCTCCGAGCTATCATATGGTTAAACCATTTGTCTAAGGTTCAATGGGTGCCATATAGCAGTTCAGGATAAAAGCCCAGATTTTGATCACAGATGCTCAAGAAAGATCCTTAAGACTGAGGGACTTTTGATTCAGGAAAATGTCCTGCATGAGCAGAGGAATGTAGGATACAGACATTATTATTGTTGAGAATACAACCACTGTTGTCAATGACCATAATTTAGGACCCTATGCTCTAAATGCAGTGACACAGGCAACTCCTCAGCCTTTTTTGTAGGCTTGGTCACCTGCCTTAGTTCTTATGATTTAACCCAAACATTTTCTACCTTGTGCTTGGAGAGTTAGGGTGGGATGGGTGGCACTTGTAATCTCTGAGCTTATCTCTTAATGGAAATAGCCAAGGCTTGGTCTACTTCCCATCTGTGCTCTGTCTAAGCCGCCTGTTTTGGGATGGTGTCAGGTTCAATGTTATGGTCCTCCTGTCTAGCTCAACACCTGAGCTACAGTAATATTCTTTGAAGAATGAGACCCTCTGAAATCCCTGTCTGTAGCAGGACCTCTAAACTTGCTCCTTCTTCAAAGTGACATTGGCATGGCCATTGAGAGGTGGCCTTTGTGCCCTCCCTTGGGTATGGTGGGACCAGTAACTATGGCTGAATGACTTCTGAGGCTAGACATGAAGGGTGTGACTTTTTTTTTTTTTTTTATGTATTCTTGGGGTACTTAAAGCCAGTGAGCATGCTGTCTGGAAACCTGAGCAGCAGAGAGAAGAAATTATGTAGAAGGAACTGAGGCAGAATCCTGGCCTTCAGTGCTAGTGGACTTATAGCTACCAGCCAGCACCCAATGCTGCTCAATGGGGGAATGGAAGTCATACCCTTAGCCAAACCACCTAGCTAAGTCTTTGGCAGAGACAAATGACCCTCTTTTCAAACTCCAGTTTTATGAATGGAATGCAGGAAAATTAGTTTTCCGTCCTACATTCAGTCCTACAGTAGTGAGATACCACCTCCACGTGGTATTAAGTGATCATCCTGGGTTTCAACACTGTGTGTGTGTGTAGAAACAGGTTTTATGTTTTCCTTCTGCCTGTGTCCCTCCTTTCTTATTAAATGAAATTTAATTTATTTACCTCAATTGCAGTTTTCCCTCCTCCCGGCCACCTCCCTTCCGGCCCCACACCCATATCTCCATTCAGAAAGGGGCAGGTCTGTCATGGGCGTCAACAAAGCATTGCATGTCAAGTTGAGGCTGGACCAAGCTCTTCCCCCCTGCATCAAGGCTGCAACTCAGCATGGGGACTAGGTTCCCAAAAGCCAGCTCAAGCACCAGGGACAGGTCCTGATCCCATTGCTAGGAGCCCCACAAACAGACCGAGTTGCACAATTGTTACATATACGCAGAGGGCCTGGATTGGTCCAATGCACTGTCTGCCTCTTTCTATGGGACCATGATTTCTGTGATAGGTGCAGATTTTCTCCACCCCAAAGAAGGGAACATAGTAGGAGTGTCACACAGCTCCTGTCACGCAGGATAGAATAAGGCTGGAAGAAACCGGTCCCTGCAGATGGAGGTGTGGTCTAGAAGGGAGTAAAATGAATCCAGGGAGCAGTTACCAGCAAGTGAAGGGGCCAGCCTGGTCTACAGTGTGAGTTCCAGGACAACGAGGGCTACACAGTGAAACCCCGTCTCAAGGCCCCACCTCCACCCCCGACAAAAACAAGACTTTAGAGAAAATGTTCCATGACTTATAGAGCAGAGCTCAAGGGCTTCAGCCAGGAGCCCAACATTAACTGGGCATGTTAGAGTCATGACAACAGTTTGCACATTGATATGGAAATGGTACCTTGCCTTTCCAGTTTGCTCCCTGAAGCCTATAATCCCGGTGTGATTACAAAATCAACCAACAAACAACAACAAAAGACTAGGAAAGTCCCACGTCAAGGAACACTTTATCAATGTCTGGCTCATACTCCTCAGAATTGTAAGGGCTGGGCCAGTGGGATGGCTCAGCCTGGCAACCTGAATTCTGCTCCTGGAACCCTCAGAGTGGTGGAGAAAACTAACTCTAAGTTGTCCTCATGTCCATACATGTGCCATACACACATATACCCACATACATGTAAAAAAAAAACATATCTGTGAGGAGCCTAAGAATCATGAAGACTAAATGTAATTGTGGACTCTAGAATGGAAAAGATATTAGGCAAAATCGGGGGGAAATGTGATGGTAGCAATACTAATAATGCAGCGCATTGTTTTACTAATTGTGACAAACGCACCATGGTGTAGGAAATGTAGAGACAAAAGGCCAAAAATAAAAGCAATGTTTTCCCACTTTGACAAAGGACCCTGATGCCGGTGACCCAACATAGACAGCTGGTTGTACTGTAACTCCCGATGACCCATGGTACTCTACTCACAGGTGTCAAAAAAAAAAAATATTTCTACTGTGAGTCTGTGAGTACTTAACAAAGACAGATGCCTGCTTCTATCCAGACAGGGCCCACACAAATGTCTCACAAGATAAAGTCAACCATCCCCAACTACTATGAAAGATGTCTGCCTCCCTCTCAACTGTGCAGACCCCTCTCAGGAACGCATCCACTGCCTTCCTGCAGTGTATTCCAGTACATTCTCTTGTCTTTCATTTCTTTAGTACATACTGTCATTGGCCTTCCAGATACTGTCTTGTGTCTTAGGAGACTGGAAACAAAGTATCTAGCACTTTCACTACAGAGATGAGAACTCCCTTCCTGGCTCAAGGCCTAAGCTTTCAGGCAGTTTTCATTTTTGTTGGGGGTGGGTGGCTATGGAAAGCTAACAAGGTAACTCCATGAAGGGCCCTCCCTGAAAGAAGCAAGGGACAGGTCTATGGGGTGTGTCCAAAATGAGGCAGGGTAAAAAGGCAGGAGGAATTAAGTGGATGTGGGAGGAGGGAAGCTCCTCATCCCAGGATCTAGTGTGTGTTCCATGCTGGCTGAGAGTCAAGAAATTTCAGCACAACTGGTAGCATCAGCCTTTACCCTCGGAGCCAGTGTGTGCTTTCTGTGCTCGGTACTTCCATGGCAATTGGACACAAGCTAGAGTCATTTTGGAAGAGGGAACCTCAGCTGCGAGAAATCCCCCACCAGATTGGCCTGCGGTACATTTTCTTGATTGATCAGGGAGGGTGCAGCTCACTGTGTGTGGTGACAGCCCAGGGCAGGTTGTCCTGGGTTCTATAAGAAAATAGGTCAAGGGGGCCATGGGGACCAAGTCAGTAATCACCGTTTCTCCATGTCTGTAGCTTCAACTCTTACCTCCAGGTTCCTGGTCTGTTGGGATTCCTGTTCTGACTTCCCTCAATGATGGACTGGTGATGTGGGACCACAGCTGTAATATATACCCTTTCCTCCTCAAGCTGCTTTTTGGTCATAGTGTTTTATCACAGCAATAGAAACCCTACGTAAGATACTGTCCTAAAGATACCTCCAACAATGATATTAAAAACAATAACATGCTTACTTAGGGCCACCTATTTCATGGCTTTGAGTTTAAATGTATCAGCCCTCCTTTCTTATCTAGATAACACACTGTATAAAACTGCCTTACCGTTATATTTACAATAAGGCAAACTAGTAAACTGGCTCATATATTTTATGCTTACTATTTGTGTGCACACATGTGTTGTGTATTTGTGTATATGAATGCATTCTACAGTGTGCAGTGGAGGTCAGGGGGCAACCTTGGATGTGGGTCTTTGCCCTCTATCTTGTTGGCTCCATGTTTGCCAGTTTCCTTGGCCTGTGTACTTCTGGGGGGCTTATCCTGGCTTTACTGTCATCTCCTGGCAGGAACTCTTGAGTGATTTTGCTTACACTGTGTGTCTGGCTTTTATGTGGGTTCCAAGAGTTTGAACCCAGATCTTCATGTTTGCCTACTGAACCATCTCCATAGCCTTACTTTCTACTTAATTTTAAACTCCACTTACTACTAAAACTTGGCTTAGCCTTTAATTCTCATTGTAAATTACATCCTTTGAATAATGTAACTTAAAAGGCCACATGATGCCTGTGTGATGGCTCAGCTGGTAAAGGTGCTTCCCAAGCCCGATGGCCTGAGTTTGATCCCTGGGACCCACATGGTGGAAGGAGGGAGCCAGCTCCCATAATAAGCTCCTCTGGCCTCCAAACACACTCCATGACACACTCGTATCCATATATACACTCACACACAATAAATGTAAAGGACCACAAAATCACACATATAGTGAGTAACTAAAAAGACATTTGAAGTGTGACTTTTTTGAGAAGCTCACACCTATGTCTTGTGTCTCACTTTCTTTATGTATCTCTGACTTTGTGTCCCAGTGATGAGATCTACAGTATGAACTCTCCTGTCTCTACCCAATAGACACATTAACTTTGCTTCCTGTTGCCTCTTCCTGAAATTCTTCAGCTGAAGGTCCCTAAAGCTGGGTGGCGTGTCTGCAGGCTATTGGTGGCAGCACTGGGCCACGTCTCTCTGCTGCTGACAGCAGCTGGTTTAACAGGTGAATATGTAAGTTCCTCAGAGACTTATAATCGCATCCTGGGATGTAGTCCAGTAGGCTCCTCCATGACTCCCAAAGACTGTCGCAAGACGCTAGCAGCTGGCTACTCCCTGCTTCAATTCCCCAAACACAAAGCCCTGGCTTTG